TTTAATGGGCAAAAGACCTAAATAGACACTTCTCCAAAGCAGACATACAGATGGCCAAGAGGCATATGGAAAAATGCTCAAAGTCACTGATCATCAGAGAGATGCAAATTAAAATGACAATGAGGTATCACCTCACACCAGTCAGAATGGCTAGCATCAACAAATGACAAGTGCTGGCAAGAATGTGGAGAAAAGGGAACCCTAGTACACTGCTGGTGGAAATGCAGACTAGTGCAGCCATTATGGAAAACAGTATGGAGTTTTCTGAAAAAAATCACTGTCATTTGATCCAGTGATCCCACTTCTAGAAATATATCCTAAGAAACCCAAAATACCAATCAGAAAGAATGTATGCACCCCTATGTTTATAGCGATGCAATTTATAATAGCTAAGATCTGGAAACCTCCCACCTGCCCATCAGTAGCTGAGTGGATAAAAAAGCTGTGGTACATTTACACCATGGAATACTATGCAGCAGTAAAAAAAAAAAAAAAAAGGAAAAAGGATCTCTTACCCTTTGAGACAGCATGGAGGGACCTGGAAAGTATTATGCTAAGCAAAATAAGCCAGTCAGAGAAAGACAAGTATCACATGATCTCACTCATATGTGGCATCTAATGAACAAAATAAACTGATGAACAAAATAGATCCAGAGACATAGAAGCAGAGAACAGACTGTGAGATCTCAGAGGGAAGGCAGTGGGTGGGTGGGAAGAGATCAACCAAAGAACTTGTATGCATATGGAACTTGCATGCACCACCCCATGGACAGACAATAGGGTGGTGAAGGCCTGGGGTGGGAGCAGGCTAGAAGGGGTCAATGGAGGAAAAAAGGGGGCATATTAGTACTTTCAACAATAAAGGTTTAATTTTTTAAAAATGAAATAGAATAGAAAGAGAACATCCACATTATGAAGCTAAGTATAGTTTACATAAAACTTTTTAAAAGTATTTGTACGTGTAATTCTTGTCTCCATAAGAATTACTCAGGGCTCTTGATAACAATGCAGGTGGTCAGTGTGGCTCAGTTGGTTGAAGCATCTTCCCATACACCAAAAGGTCCCAGGTTCAATTCCTGGTCCAGGCATATACCCAGGTTGTGGATTCAATCCCAGGTTGTGAAGAGTGCAGGAGGCAACTGCCTGATATTTCTCTCTCTCCCCCGCTCCTCTCAAAAAGAAAAAAAAATGCAGGTGCTTAGATTCCACACCCAAAATTTTGGAGGGGTTCAAGAATCTGGATTTTTAATAAGAATCTGGATTTTTAACAAGAATCTGGATTTTGAACAAGTACTAGTAGATTGTAGACTGTGCTTTCAGACACAATGGTATAGATGCCCTTGAGAAGTAAGTGGTCTATAGCTAAGTGACCAACTTAAGAAAGACCTGAGGTTTTATTTCTGCCGGGCACCACAGGAAATGTTTTACATACATTACCTCATTTAAATCTGTCACACTGGCCCAGCCAGTGTGGCTCAGTGGTTGAGTGTCGACCCATGAACCAAGAGATCAGTGGTTCGATTCCCAGTCAGGGCATATGCCCAGGTTGAGGGCTCAATTCCCCAGTGGGGGGGTGTGCAGGCAGCAGCCAATCAATGTTTCTCTCATCAATTTTTCTATCTCTAACCCTCACCCTTGCTCTCTCTCTAAAATCAATAAAAAACATTAAAAATATGTCATACTATACAGGTTTCCTCATTAATGTTTTAAATAAAATCATTAATATCTGTTTACTTTATATCAGTGGGAGAGCCATGATTTCATCTTTTAAAAAATGATCCTTTAACACTTTAACAAGTTTCAGATACTTTGGGGTATTGTGGGGACCTCAAGAGGAGAGGAACTTGAGCAAATTTATAAGTAGTTCAGGTAAAACCTGCTGTGGAGAGAGCTTCCTGGGAATGGCTTCCATGCCTCAGGAGAGCAAATATCAGATTTTTAAAAATTCAATCTGAGGCTCCTTATGAAGATTTCCAGCAAAGCAAACTCAAGAAAGCCTATATGGTAAATTAACATACTTACTGCACCTAGGCAAATAATCAAGGCAAAGCTAATGAGACCAGCCTTATTTCATTATCAAAAACATCTTTCATTGAGGTTATGAGACTAGGGAAAATTTGTTCTTCAATGGGAAACTATGCATTGTCTAGAACACACCCTTTCAGGTTATATAAATCTAGCCTTTCAGTACCTTTGAGCTATTTTCACAACTCTATACATTATAGAGAATAATGAGAACTAGGAACTGATAGTCTATAGACAATAAATCCCCTCTCTCCACGTAAATAAATATGGACATGTAAATGATTCTTCCGACTATGGAAGAAACCAGTTTTGCCTCCATCTGCACATTCATTTCAATATTCCTGATCTGTAGTCTTCTAGAATCTTCCTTGGGTTCTCTTGCAAACTGGCTGTAAGATCTTACTGGTTCCTTGATTCATGAGTTGAGTAAAAGCTTTCACATGTGTTCATTTCATATCTGTATGAAATCATGAATTTTATTTCCTTTGTTTTGGTCTAAAGCTCTGCTTTTTTAGATTGCCCTGGTCATTGGTCCTAACATCTTTGAGTTCCAGTCAGCAATTTAATAAATTACATCGGCTATACCAGTCTCTACTGCATGTAATAAAAGTGAGTATTATCATATAAAACTTTTTTTTATATATATTTTTATTGATTTTTTACAGAGAGGAAGGGAGAGAGATAGAGAGTTAGAAACATCGATGAGAGAGAAACATCGATCAGCCGCCTCCTGCACACCTCCTACTGGGGATGTGCCCACAAACCAGGTACATGCCCCTGACCGGAATCGAACCTGGGACCCTTCAGTCTGCAGGCCGACACTCTATCCACTGAGCCAAACCAGTTCCGGCTATAAAACTTTTATTTGTTATACAGATGTATATTTATCCTAGTGGACTCACATTTTTAAAAATATATTTTATTGATTTTTTACAGAGAGGAAGGGAGAGGGATAGAGAGTTAGAAACATTGATGAGAGAAAAACATTGATCAGCTGCCTCCTGCACACTCCCTACTGGGTATATGCCCGCAACCAAGGTACATGCCCTTGACTGGAATCGAACTTGGGACCCTTGAGTCCGCAGGCCGATGCTCTATCCACTGAGCCAAACCGGTCAGGGCTGGACTCACATATTTTTTAACTTTGGATGGTCATTGTTTTGAGGTAAATACTTGGGCCCTAATGATTATTTTGTAGTATTTAATTTTTACTCAATAAGGATTTCTTGAATGTCTGGGATGTTTTTAAGTCAGGCAGATGTAAATGGAAAGTTCAAGAGCTTCACAATTTATGGTTGATCACTCTCTTATCCTCTCTCCCCTTCCCCCAAAACTGAGGTACAGAGCAATCTGAGGGCAGTATTCCGACTGCCTGCTTTGATAATGCTGTCCTGCTGGTGGTTACAAAGGGCTCAGTGTAAACCCAACACCAAGGAGACATCCCTGGGTCCAAGCCCTAATCAGTAAGATCTGGAAAGGCAGAGCCTGGCTCAGCAGTTGATGGTGGATCAACAGAATTACCTTCATACAAGAAAGCGACAACCACCATCCTCAGGTGCCAACACCCAGGTCCTTGGCGCTGGCTTGCTGGATGGGAGACCTGGGGCAAATCCCACCAATTCTCTGAGCTGGTTTCACCTGTGAAACAGGAAAAGTGGCATTGAGATATGGTACAGTGGGGCCTTGACTTACGAGTGTCCCGACTAATGAGTTTTTTGAGATACCAGCTGTCTCTCGGCCGATTTTTTGCATTGAGTTGATAGAGTAATTTGAGTTAACAAGCTCCTTAACAAGCTTGGTCTCGGAACGAATTAAACTCGTAAGTCAAGGCCCCACTGTATGTCAAATTCTTCTATAAACTGTAAATCACCGCACAAGCACAAGGAATTCTTTGTACAGGCCCCAATAGGGGTCCTGAAGAGTAGAAAGGGAAGAGAGAAGTTCATGATGTTTGAAAAAGCTCCTGGATGAGCCCTGGCAAGGTAGCTCAGTTGGTTAGAGCATCATCCTGATAGGCCAAGGTTTTGGGTTCGATCCCAAGTCAGGGTACATACTAGAATCAACCAGTGAATACATGAGACAATGAATTGATGTTTCTCTCTCTTTCCTTTCCTCTCTCTAAAATCAATTGTTTTTTTTTTTTTTTTTTAATATTTTATTGATTTTTTACAGAGAGGAAGGGAGAGAGATAGAGAGTTAGAAACATCGATGAGAGAGAAACATCCATCAGCTGCCTCCTGCACATCCCCCACTGGGGATGTGCCCGCAACCCAGGCACATGCCCTTGACCGGAATCGAACCTGAGACCTTCGGTCCGCAGGCCGACGCTCCATCCACTGAGCCAAACCGGTTTCGGCTAAAATCAATTGTTTTAAAAAGCTCCTGGGTGATTCCAATGCTGTCCTCCCACCTTCCGCTACTAATGAGCTACGTAGGTTACAAGGTGGCACGCTGGCTGGCCCAAGACACCTCCTATGACTATATGCAACCACTCTGGTATACATAGGCGTTACACTTGGGAGAGCTGGAAGGTGGCAGTGATCAAGATTAAGAACTGTTGCCCTGACCGGTTTGACTCAGTGGATAGAGCATCGGCTTGCGGACTGAAGGGTCCCAGGTTCGATTCCGGTCAAGAGCATGTACCTTGGTTGCGGGCACATCCCAGTAGCGGGTGTTCAGGAGGCAGCTGATGGATGTTTCTCTCTCATCAATGTTTCTAACTCTCTATCCCTCTCCCTTCCTCTCTGTAAAAAATCAATAAAATATATTTTTAAAAAAAACTAAAGGAAAAAATAGACTACTATTAAAAATAAAAAAAGATTAAGAACTGCTAGTCTAAGGCAGGGCTGCTCAAACTCAGCACCACTGGTATTTTGCACCAGATAATTCTTTGTGGTGGGAGCTGTCCTGTGCAATGAAGGATATTTAACAAGCATCCAGGCCTCTGCCTGCTAGATGCCAGGAGCATCTCCCAAGTCCCCACAACCAGCACTGTAAATGTCCCCTGGGAACCACTGCTCCAAAACAACTTAGAGCTGCCCTATAGAAAGAGAGATTACAGCCAACGGTCTCCCTACCCCCAACCCCCATCAGAATCTTAGCTAGTTTTACTCCTCCCTTACCAGGCCTAAGGTGTCCTCAAATCTCATTCTCTCTACACCGGAGCCTGCCACCTTCCACGCCTTCTTAGGACTTCAATCCCCACCACTGCCCTAATGGTCTTCCCCTCTAGCTCCTCCCGGTCCTTCCAATTCTCCCTACGCAATGCAGTGCTGACTGGTTAATCTTCCTAAAGTTCAACTTTAATCATTTCTCTCTCCAGTAAAAATCACCTGTCTCTGTTACAAAAGCCCCACAATCTAGCACCAACCTCACACACTATCTCTTCCCCCGATCTGACTAAGGGCTTTTGGAAGAGGAACAAGAGAAACCTGATTGAATCAAGCCAGAAAATCCATATCAAGTCCTGGAAATGGTTTTGGCCTTGAGAACCAGAAATGTCAAAATAATAAGGTTTCACGTGATTCTCTAATTATTGGAGCTCAGCATCCGAGTCCAAAGGCAAGGAGTAACGGAAGCGAAAGACCGATGGTGAAGGCAAGCATTTTGAACTATGGTCACACGGATTAGGTCCTGAAATCAATTTCATGGGTTAGCAATAGTTTTCTGGAATGGAAAGAACAGAATAGAATAGAACGGAATGGAATGTGCAGTTAGGGTAGGGGAATATCTCCCTTTAAAGTAATCTTTCATTAATCTACATCTACAGGCACAGGGTCTGCATGTAAAATATATTTCTCGGTGTCAGTTGAAAAGAACTTGAAAGCCACAGTGGACAGTCGACATAAGCAGACGTGGACGGAGGGATGCAACAACAGCAAAAGTGCAAGGTCACTCACTGGCACCTCCAGAGCCGCAAAGATGGGTGCCAGGATGGAGGCAGTGTGCGGCGGGGTGGACACCGCCGGGGGAGACGGGCAAATGTGGGGCTCTCTGATTTGGGGTGTCAGGGCTCAGTCCCAGGGTGGGGTGTGTTGGGGGAGGAGGGACGAGGAGAAAAGAGGCGAATCCCGGGTGAAGGACAAGGAGGCGGCCTAGGCGCCGGTACCCAAAGCCTGGGGACCCCCCTCCTCCCAGCAGCAGCAACCCCTGGGACCGCCGGGAGAGGCGCGCCCGCGCCGGGGACCGGGGACCCTCCCGACCCGCTGGTACCCGTCCTCACCGGGCACCGGCCGGGTGGCGACGGCAGCGGGGCCCTCCTTCTCCGGGACCGAGCCGCGGCAGGTCCTCTGGCCTCGGCCGCTGCAGTCACGGCGTCCACCTTGCGGCCCAGGCCCCTCCGGCCAGCGCAACACGAGCTCCGGGTCCCCGCCCCCACATGCCCTCTCGGGGGCGAGCCCCGCGCCCGCGCGCCGTCCCGCGGGTGGTGGGGAGCGCGCGTCACCCCGCCGGGGGTTGGGGGGGCCGGCCTCAGAGATCGCCTAGGCGAGCTCCCGGGGAGCCCGCGCAGCAGAGCCCATCGGGGCACAAGAATTCCGCTTCTCCGGGTCTTCCGTGCGCTGCGCCGAGCTGGCAGCCCAACCAATCGGCGCGGGGGGCGGGGCCAGGGCTCGCGAAGGGGGCGAGGAAAGCCCGGGATTGGGTGGCGGCGTCTGGGCGGAGCCTGGGTTGGACTTGCGGCTCCGACTTGGGGTCCGGCAGGTCTCAGACTAGAGCAGTGGTTCTCAACCTTCCTAATGCCGCGACCCTTTAATACAGTTCCTCCTGTTGTGGTGACCCCCAACCATAAAATTATTTTTGTTGCTACTTCATAACTGTAATGTTGCTACTGTTATGAATCGTAATGTAAATACCTGATATGCAGGATGTATTTTCATTGTTACAAATTGAACATAATTCAAGCACAGTGATTAATCACAAAAACAATATGTAATTATATGTGTGTTTTCCGATGGTCTTAGGCGACCCCTGTGAAAGGGTCGTTCGACCCCCGGTCGCGACCCACTGGTTGAGAACCGCTGGACTAGAGGGTGCGGGGTTTCATTGGGAACCCCGGATCTCCCCCTGGACTTGACTTCGCCCTTACAAAGGGGGAGCAGAAGGAAGTTTCTTATGCTCCTCATTGAAACCTTCAAATGACCCCGCCCCAAGCTGGGCCAATTTGAGATTCAAAATGAATAATAATAATTATGGATTATAACCTTGAATAAAGAATCTGAGTCAACACTGATGTAAATAAGTAAATGGGGGAGAAGGGAAGCTCTTTCTTATAGTAGGCAGCCAACTAAAATATATATTATAAGCTTATTTTACATGTGATTGCCTACATAATTTATTTTCCCATTGGACATTTCGTTTCTAAACCTATTATAAATATTGCTGCTGTGGCTGGCATCATTCCTAACAGTCGGGGAGTCTGGTGGAGAATACATGGGAATCCTTTGTGCACTTCTTGACATTTTTCTATAGGTGTGGAATTAGGTCAAAATAAAACGTCAAACTGAAATATCCACCCCTTTGACGTTCCGGGGTGGAAAGCGCCTATTCCGCGTGGTCCCTCTCTCGCCCATCGGTCCAGCCTTGGCCCTTTGGTCCCGACCTTGTCCGCCCGTCCAGCGGTCTCCTTCGCACAGCCACTGGACACTTGTCATTCTCCGACCACCCTGTGCTGTGGGGACCGGGCGTGGGGAGCTGCGGGGCCCCCGCACTGTTTTCCGGGACACCTGGCGAGTGGCCGCAGCCTCGAAGCTCCTGCACGTCGTCCCAACGCGCCTCGCCTCCCCTCCCGCTCGGTGTCCCGGACCCTCGTTCGCCGCCACCCTCCCAGCCCCCTCTGTTCCCCTTCGCCCGCCAGGGCCCCCAGTCTTCTAGCAGCGCGTCCTCGGCCTCGGAGTTTGCAGAGTGAAGACGCTGCTTCTCTCTAGGAAATGCCGCGCGCTTCAGACACCCCTTCCCTCCGCCTCTCCCGTCGCTCGGAAGCGGCGGCTGGAAGCGCCCCCTGGCGGCAGGCAGGTGGAGGTCCAGCGCCCACGGGGCCCTCCAACCCGGGGTCTCCAGCCGGCTCCTGGTTTCCATGGTCTCCGCAACCTCCGCGAGCTCTAGGGAGTCTCTCCCCCTCCCCCCCATCCCCCGGTGCTCTCCCGCACCCTTTCCTGCCCGCCACACGTTCAGCCCTCTGCCTCCCGCCCTCACCGCCAGGTCTTCCTCTCACCCCTGTGCGCCGCCCGCCTCCGACCTCTGCCCGCCGCCTGTCCTCCGCGCCCCGAACCCCCCACACCGCGCACCTCGCGGCCCGCCCCCCCCCCCTGCCCTGCACTCCAAAACCCGGGGCCTCGGAGACCAGTATCCACAAAGCCTCCCCTCCTTGGAGACGGCGAGCTTCTGTTATGGGGGGCGGGGCAGGCAGCAGTAGATACAAACACTGGTTAATGGTCTGTCTTAGAAGTAGTACGTGCTTATTGAATGTAAACTGTAATTGAAAGATAAATTCCAAATTAAAAAAATATTTTAAATTGCTATGGGGAAATAAAACGGGGAGGAGGGGTGGCTGCAATGTGTGCTAGACTTTAGGTCGGAAAGTGACTTGGAGTTAGGACTTCGCTCACGTTCTCCCGGTATCGGGCCATCTGCCGGGCAATCGCCCACCCCCTCCCCCTGCAGAAGGCGCCTTAGAGCCGCTGCCCGCTCCTCAAGGTGCGGGTGTGCGTCTTGGGCGTCTTGGGTCCGTAGGGATAGCCTGAGACTGCAGAAGAACTGCGGTTCTCCCGACCCGGTATTGGGGAGGCGCCTGGATCTCCTCCCTCCCCCCTCTCCTCTCCCCCCTCCCCCCACTCCGGGCTGCTCTGCAAAGTCTCGGCGGATGGGGAACCTGGGGTCCCACGACAGCTCTGGAAAGCAACCAAGGGGAATACAACCCCAAGGAGAAAACAGGCTTAAGTTGTGCACACAAGAGGAGGGTGCTATTATTTCCTTTTTTCTAATCCTCACCCGAGAAAGAGTGGATATATATGTCCAAAACTTAGCCCTAGCCGGTTTGCTCAGTGAGTAGAGCTTGGGCCTGCGGACCAAAGGGTCCCGGGTTCCATTCCGATTGGGGACGAAAGGGGCCATGTGCTAACCTGACTAGCTCAGGGAAGGCCTGCATGGCGGTTGTGCAAACTCAAGACCTAAAATAACCAGAAGGATGGTCTGAAAATTAAATATTGAACTACAAGCAGGTTATGGTGGGTAGTCATGCCCTAGGCCAGTATTTTCCCTGACAAAGATCAACTTCGATCTTTACTGAGCCTTTTGTCTTTTTGCATCTAAAATAACATACCTGTGAAATGTCTGGGTAACTTGTAACTTCCCTTTTTCTGGACCCCTCAGGGCACAACAAATGGTTATTATCCTGTTAATCGTCACCTGTTAACTCTGTTAACCATCCTTATCCATCTGTGTAAAAGAAGCATATGTCCATCATTTCACTTTTAATCCAATCCCAGAGGTCCCCCCCCTTGCTTTCTCCCACCTCCCTAATCTGTCACCAATGTATTTCATGTAACTCACGTATTTTCCTTTTGATGGTCATTTATGAAAACAAGGTATGAACTCCCCATTCTCTGGAGCATAACCTAATCTGTTGAGAGTCTGCTTCCTGGCAATTGTCAACAGATTGGCTCAAATAAACTCACAAAATTCTTTACAGGTTTGAATGGTTTTTACGTTAACACGGTCAAAGGCCCATTGGGGCCGTGCAGGAGGCAACCCATGGATGTGTTTCTCTCACATTGATGTTTCTCTCTGTCTTTCCCTTGTTATGCCCAGATTTCAAGATTCCCAAGAAACCACATCAGGGAGCCAATCGGATGCAAAAGCATAAGAATCTGTATTTCAAGCTAGCTTGAGCTCCCCATCCACCAGGCTCACCGACACAAAGGCAAACCAAGTGGCTGAGAGAGAGAACCCCGCCTAGAGACCGGTTATATAGGGGGGATTGGAGTAAGGGGAGGAGAAAAGACTGTGCTCTGCTGCCTGGGTGTGGCTAGCAGAGTAGGACGTAGCCCCTACCCTGGGGCAACCTAGCCCTTGCCCTTTCAATAACAGTAGCAAAATTACAGTTATGAAGTAGCAACGAAAATAATTTTATGGTTGGGGGTCACCACAGCATGAGGAACTGTATTAAAGGGTCGCGGAATCAGGAAGGTTGAGAACCGCTGCTCTAGGGGCTTTCTCAGGCTGCCCTCCGTGAGCCAGGCCCCTGTCAGACACTGTGGGCAGCCCTTTGCCCCAGCTTCCATGGACTTACCAGTCAGGAAGTTCCGTGTTTCCTGTCTAGCCCTGGGAGGCCAGCGCTGTGACTTGTTTATCACTAGATCCCAGGCACCCTGCTCTGGACAGACTTTAAGGTCTTCAAGAAGCGAAGGGGCCGGAAAGTGGCAGGAGAGAGAGGAGAAGGGGTAGAAATGGGGGTGAACCTAGGTGAGAATTATACCATGTCCCCTGCACCGCTCCTTTAACTTTTATACGAACGTGAAATGTTTCAAAATAAAGAAAATCGTGGACACTGCTGGCCCTCGCGTGTGTTCCCGGCTTGGCTCAGCAGGGGGTTCCTGACCCCGGTACTGAACACCTTCCAGGCAGGTGACGGCCACTCAGGAGGGAGATGGCCTTTGCTGTGCCCTCAAGCGGCTTCCAGGGGCCACCATGTCAGCCAGGCCCCTCACTGGGGACATGAGTGCCCACGCAGCCTGCAGCTTCCCTGGCAGCAGCAGGAGGGGTCAACAATGCCACACTGAAGTTCAGGGAGTGGGCAGGCCCATCATTCCTCTCTGACCCGCCCAGGCTGGGGCTGCCTGGACACCAGGCTGAGTGGGATGAAGTCACGCCTGGCCTGCCCCCTCTCCTCTCCTCCCCTTCTTCACTCCTGCTTCCCGGGTGGCACTCCGCCATCACACGCCAGAGCCTGAGCAACTCCTCCTACGTTCTTACCATCAGACAAAACCTGCCCCGCTAAAGGGTGACTCAGAACGGAGGAAAAGAGGAATTGGTGGGTAAGGGGAACCTATTTAAATCTGGAATTAAGACAGAAGAACATCTCAAATTATGGCTGCAGAATATAAACGTTACAGACAAACATGCTGTAAAAATAAAAATAGCGAAATGGAGAGCTGGCAAGGAAAACGTGCTGGGCAACCAGCTCTCCTGAGACGGTGTCAAGAGATACTGATTACATTTAGAAAATGGTGTTTTAAAACACAAGGCCTCTAAACTATCGGGTACATGCAGAGGTGTGACGAGATAATGGACTCCCCCTGGAATTTCTAACAGATCAGCATGCCAGACACAGATACTGGCTTCTCCAGACCCCCACACAGATACTGACTCCTTCCTGAATACCTTGCTGACCCCCTGCAGCTGAAACTTCCTCAGCTGAATACCTCAGCTCATGTCCCCGCCCCTCACCCAACCGCAGTATAAAAAAAAGCGCCCCCCTCCCTGTTGGCGTGAATCCTCGTGCCCTGTCTTTTGGGGTACGTGGGTCTCCCGGGGATGCAGAAATAAACCTTTCCTTTCTTTCTTTTCTGATTCACTCGACTCTTTATTTCTTATGCCGCCTCCTGAGCCACCTAACCTAACAATAAGCCCGGCCGGTGTAGCTAGCTCAGTGATTGAGCGTCGATCTATGAAGCAGGAGGTCACGGTTGGATTCCCAGTCAGGGCACATGCCCGGGTGGCAGGCTCAATCCCCAGTGTGGGGCGTGCAGGAGGCAGCTGATCAATGATTGTCTCTCACCATTGATGTTTCTATCTTTCTCTCCCTCTCCCTTCCTCTCTGAAATTGAAGCAGGAATTTGGGGGAACATAGGCAGGCTTAGGGTTTTTTTAGAATTGGGGTCCATGGAAAAACACAGGGCTGCAGACTGCGAGAAGGTACATTTCCATAACGCAAGGAAGCCAGGTGCAGTTACATCTCCATAAGACAGGGGAGCAGCAACAGTTGCATTTACATAAGACAAGGGAACTGGAAGTATCCCAGAAAGGTCTACATTTACAAAATAAAGAGAAGGAAGCCCTTCATCCAGATGGAAAAGAAAGCCCAGAGGAATGGAAGATGAGGGAGGAGGGCCTTAGGAATCACTATAGTAACCAATTCGAAGGGGAATATTGACCAATCAGAGGGGATATCAGGACACAGGAACTGCAGCCTTTATAAACCACAGGGAAAAGGAGCTCAGTGGGACTCTTTTCCCCCTCCCTACGTGGGAGTCAGTTCTGTGGGACTCTTCCCCCTCCCTACGTGGGAGTCTGTACTTGTTCTTCAATAAATCTCCACCTTTGCTATACCACTTTCTGTCCGTAGATTCATTCTTCGATTCCGGTGGACAAAGAATCCGGGTTCCAGTCCAAAAATTTGGTATCAAAATCAATAAAAATATATTTTTTAAAAATAAGCCATTTCCTTGTGCCCAGTGGCAGTTTACAAATAACGAGGGCCCCTTGCGGTGAGGCAACTGAGGCTGGGGGCCTCTGGGGGACCTGGACTTCTGGTTGGAGGAGAGCTGTGGAGTTCCTCCACTTCCTCCTCCAGCAGTGCAGCACCCAGGGGCTAGGGAGGGGTTCAGGCTCCTGGTCATCTCAGCCCCAACCCACCTGGAAGGAACATGATGGGAGCACCACACACTTGTCAGGGGGCCCGGCCCCCAGACAGCAGCCCCCGCCCAGCAGAACCCTGGGCCGCAGTGATGGCAGAGCCCTGTGCAGGGGGCTATCAGTCCCATGTGGCTGCCTGGAGGAGGTGAGCCTCCTGAGGCTCCAGCAAGGGGACAGGCCCTGGAGGGAGCCAGGGAGGTGGCTGGATCAGCTTCCTAGGGGGTCAGGGCTGGCAGTCCCACTGCCCCCTTTCAGACCAAGGCAGAAGGAAGGGAACCTCAGAGACCCACCTAGTCTCTTGCCAGGGGCTGGATTTCCAGATCGAAGGAGCCCTCGGGTGTGAGGTTCTGGGGGATGGAGGCCCTCGAGAGCCCTCCTGAGTCTGAAATAGAGCCCAGTCCAGGCAGCCTGGGGAAGGACCATGTGAGGGCTGGTGGGGTTGGAATTGGGCCTCAAAGGACCCGAATCCTGGAATTTTTACAACCTGTTCATGATAGGATCTAGCATTTATTTTATTTTATTTTAATCTTTTGTTCTGCTTACAAAAGTAACTTGAGCTTGAGCTGAAAAACATTACACAATGTTGTGAGTGAAAATCACTGGGGACTGGGCCCCAGGCAGAAGTCACAGCCAAGTTCACTGAGCCATCAAGGACGCCGTGCCTGCAGTCGCCAGGGTTACGGAGCCTCGTCGGGCCCCACAGAGGACTCCTCCCGCCCTCCGTGGGACTGGGAGCTGGCCCCTCTGCCAGCCTTCCGTCTTCTTTTCCTTTCTGGAAGAGAATGGGGTGGGTCAGGAGGGCTCAGAGGAAAAGAGAGGGGTGAGGGTGTGGCACAGACCCGAGTCCCTGAGCTCTCAGCCCACCAGGGGATGACCTGGGCACCACTGACCGACTTCGAAGATTGCCAACGCCAGACATACGCTCCCAAAGGCCACAGAGGCTGCTAAAGTCATTTCCAGGAAACTCTGGGCCAAATCTGGGCTGAGGACTAGGAAGCTGCTGCTGCCCCCAGTGGCTGGCCAGGGATGGAGCAACGTGTGTGTGTGTGTGTGTGTGTGTGTGTGTGTGTGTGAGTGATGGCAGCCGAGGGGGTTGGTGACTGCTGGAGACCTGCCTAAGGGAGCCTGTGGGGCAGAGAGACAGCCTGGCTCTGCCCTCCATCTCTCCACCTGAGGAAGGCTGGCTTTTGTTCGAATCCTCACAATAGCGTGTATGGGCTAGAGCCTATCTGGCCCAAGAACCTGGGCAGATGCCCAAGCTGAGGTCTCAGAGAGGGTGGAAAAGGCCCTGGATCTAACCCAACCCACTGAGTTGAGCGGGAAGACGGTCTCTGAGCCAGATGTCCCCCCTTCACCCTCTGCAGGGATCAGCTGGTGGCCTCAGCGTAGTAACTTGGCCTCTGAACCCTGCTTCCCAACAGGTCACAGGATAGCACCCTCCACCCCCTGGGCTGGCAGGAGGAAGCAGGTATACATACACATGGAGGCCCTGAACCAGAACTGGCTGGTGGAAGCGCTCACAGCGTACACTGGGCACACTGCAGGTTCTGGGGAGATGGGGTCCCCAGCTCCCTGATTACAGCTCCTATCCAACAGGGGATGGAGGTGAGGGGTTCCTCAGGCCTGTAGCTGGGGTGTCCCGTCTCAGGAGCCTTAATGTCTCAACCTTGGGGAAGTAGTAGGGCCCCCCCACCCCTGACCTCACAGCACTCACCACTGTTTCCATCAGTGCGGAGGGGTCCCTTGTACTGCCCAGCTACCTGGTGGAAACCAAGAAGCTTTGGCTTCCCTTTCCCGGGACTGGCTACCAAGCCGAGTGCCCTGACTGACTCCAAGGAGGCCCCTGTTCATACGCAGCAAATAGGGCCAACTGCTGTGGCTTTTATTTTCTCTATCTTCTCAGGGCTCAGCAGACCCTGTTTCTGGTTGGGAAGAAACCTCAGCTCATCTCCTTCCCAGCTACTAGGCATCCCCTCCCCCAGGCGTCCCTCAGGTTTCCAAGTTCCACTGTCACCTGCACCAAGCCTGGGGCTCCAAATAGACTTTGGCACAGAAACATGCACACACAGACCCCCCCCCCCAACACATAAATACAGAAATACACAAGAGCAGGCAATGGACAGCCCTCGCCAGTTGCTCAGTGGTTAGAGCATCTGCACTCAGACTGAAGGGCTGTGGGTTCGATCCCCTGTCAAGTACACATACTTCGGTTGCAGGCTTGATCCCTAGTCCGGGTCAGGGTGTGTGCAGGAGGCAACCAATCGATGCATCTCTCTTACATCAATGTTTCTCTCTCTCTCTCTCTCTCTCTCTCTCTCTCTCTCTCTCTCTCTCTCTTTTTCCCTCTCTCCCTCCTCCCTCCCTTCCATTCTCTAAAAATCAGTGGAAAGGGTGAGGATTTAAAAAAAAAAAAAAGAGCAGACATGGACAGAAATAGGCCCAGGGACAGGGACACACACACAGACATACCTTCCCAGGCAAATCCATATGTAGACACAGAACCCCAGACACACATGCATGGAGGCTATAGACTCGCAGAGAAGAGAGACTACATGCAGACACGCTCACAGCACGGGCATGCTCTTTCTAGAGCCAGCCAGGCCTGTCTGTCCCCTCGGCTGTGCGGTGTCAGGGGACTTGCAGCCCCAGGGAGGTCTTGCTCGGTTTTGCTCGCTGGGACGAGGGCCTCACCTGTGTCCAGCTTCCTGCGTTTCTGCTCAGACTCCGGCGGGGCTGCCTCAATGGCACGCTGGGCCTCGGGATGGATCTTGAGGAGGGCCTTGGCCAGGGTGGTGGGGGCGGGCACCCCCAGGGACATGATGCAGTGCACGCCTCTGCGCTTGGCTGCAGCCACTTTGTCACTGTCTTTGGACGCTGTCAGCAGGACCAGTTTGGAGAACTTCCTGGGCTTGGGCTTCCTGGGAGCTGAAGGGACGACATCTGTGCCCGGCTCGGGGGACTGTGGGGACGGCTCCTGGCCGGCCTTCACACTCTCGCCCTCCTGTTCGCTGGGCTCAGGCAGGGGCATTGTGGGACCAACGGCCTGTCCCCCAGGCCACACTCAAGCTCCAGGAGACGGATTTCTCCTCCTGATTCCTGGCAAGGAACCTGGCAGTCCAGGGGCTCTGTCCTAAGGAAGAAAGCAAACCCCCATCAGTGAAGCCTGGGCTCAAGGAGAATGGATCTGGGGCGCAGTTTGGGCAGATGGGGCACCAAGATGCCCAAGGACCTGAACAGAGCTGGAGAAGCCTGGGCCGGTGCTTCTGCTTGGCCAGCTCCTCTCTTCGCAGCAGTGAGCATGTAAATGTGCTTTCACAATTAAGTCCTGCCCTTGGGGCGGGGCGGGGGGGGGAAGGCTGCTGGGGATTAAGATACAGATAACTGAGTTACTACAAATCCAGGTGCTTGGGTGCTGGGCCTGAAGCAAAGTGTTTCATGGTTTTTTCCATTTAACCTTTCAGCCACATGTTATGAAAGTCCGCCATTCTCACTGACCCAGGTTACAGACGAGGACACTGAGCCTGCCAGGGCGACCAGCACAGCCATGAAGCGGCAGAGCTGGGAGGCCAGCTGAGGCCGAGCTGGAGCCCACCCCACACGGCGCCTGGCGTGCCTTGTCCAGGATAACAGTCACCGGCGTTCCTGAGCACCACGCATCAGAGACAAGCACTGGGGACATGAGCTCAGGTCACTGACCTTCCCAGAATCCCCAGCGCCCTCTCACCCTGACACTCTGCAGACCACAGAGTTCCTGGCCCTGAGAGGCGTGACTCTGGACTCACAACTAGATCCTGTGCCCACCCCAGGCGGGAGGCCTGGGGCCACCCAGAGCTCAGGAGGTGCCAGGGGTGCTTTCATAGTCCACGAGGGCAGCGATCTGACCTTGTGCTTGAGCTGGTGCTCCACTGCCTCGGCTGGGCGGGGACAGGGCTGTGAATTTGTCCAGAGAATCTGTGGTCACTGAGGGCTCCCTGGCTTCTGGCCTGGAGAAGCATAAAGGACAGATTACGGGGACGGGGCTGGTCTGAAGACCATGGCCCTGGGCATAAGCATGAGGTGGCCTTTTTTGTTTGGGGGGCAAGTAGGTGGTGGGCGGATGGCAGGTCTTCCCAGTTTACCGTGTTAGCCCAGAACTAATGCTGCAGGCTGGGGAGACTCTTGCCTGCCCTGCCCAGGACCAGGCTGTGGCAAAGCCCACACATACCTACTTGCACCCTCCGTTCTCACTGTTTCCTTTTTCCTGTGTCCTCACATGGTCTTCCCTGTGTGTCTATACCCTAAAGGCCCTTTCCTAACACAGCCACATTGTGAGGTCCTGAGTGTTAGAGCTTCAACACATGGGTTGGGGGTAGGCACAATTCAGTCCACAGCAGCACAGAACACGGTGAGCGCCTAATAAATCATAGCGTGTGGTGTCTCTATATCTCGATCCCAAACTTCCATGCACGTTCAAACCGAGAGCATGTCCCGGATGGCAGGAGTGCGCGGGGCCTGCACGTGACACTAGGACAGCGGTTCTCAACCTGTGGGTCGAGACCCCTTTGGCGGTCGAACGACCCTTTCACAGGGGTCGCCTAAGACCATCCTGCAGATCAGATATTTACATTACGATTCATAACAGTAGCAACATTACAGTTATGACGTAGCAACGAAAATAATTGTATGATTGGGTCACAACATGAGGAACTGTATTTAAAGGGCCAGAAGGTTGAGAACCACTGTACTAGGGGCTATTTACTCAGTTAGGAGCCCTCAAACCAGCTGGATCTTCACACAAATGCCACCACAGTTCCAAAAGCTCTGCCTGTCACCCAGGGGAGCCAGACTACGCTTATATGGATTTTTTTTTCATCATCCAAATTTTAGGTCATCATCCAAATTTTAAAAATATGAAAAATGCTTGTAGAACCACCTTCATCCAAGATCTACCCATTTGAAAACATTCCTGCACAATAAACAGCTCCTCTACTCGGCTGACACCACTCTTAATTTATCCGGATTTAGTTTTCTAACCAAAGGAAAGCAATGAGATAGGTTATATTGAGGTTATTCTGAAATATTTAATTGAAAAAGTAATATTGAATTCATTAAACAGTAATAGTAAATCTGCATCATCCCACCTCCTATCACAAACTGCTTTCATTTCTGCATTGTTTTCTACATACATCTTTTTTCAGAGCTACAAGCAAAGCTTTCGAATAATCGTATTTCCTGCTTTCTTTCCATTTATTAGGGTAGAAACCACCAGTTTAGAGACCAGATGGAAAGACCCCTAGAGAGTGCCAGAACACAATTTAACTTATCCTGTAAGTGTAGAAAATTCAATTTAAACTTTAAGCAACAGTATTCTAGAAGGCCACAAGATAGTGATGTTGCTCCTTAAAATGAGCCATTTTTCCAAGATGAAAAAAGAGGACATAAGGGGTAAAAAAAGATATAAAAGGTTTTAAAGTGTTTCTATTTGTGCCCTATCTGGTTTGGTTCAATGGATAGAGCGTTGGCCTGCAAACTGAAGGGTCCCAGGTTCGATTCCGGCAAAGGACACATGCCTGGGTTGCGGCCTTGATCCTCAGTAGGGGGCGTGCAGGAGGCAGCCAATCAATGATTCTTTCTCATCATTGATGTTTCTATATCTCTCTCCCTTCCTCTCTAAAATCAATAAAATATACTTTAAAAAAAGGTATCTACAAATAAATAAATAAAAATAAAGTGTTTATATTTGGCTTACAAAAAAGCATTGTTAGAAAGTCCAGTAAACACATTTAGCAAAGATGATCTTTTCTAGGCTACACAACTGTGCATTTTCAAAAAAAAAAAAAAAAGACCAAGAACTTTGATCCCTGTCCTGTGTCTTTCTCTCTCAATCCACTCGTCTTTCCTTTTATTTATTCTCCATTCCAGTTATATTTCTCATGTACTTACTAATTTTATTTGACCCATTCTTAACTTAAGAAGCAGGTGCTTTCTAGTCTGTTTTCAAAGAATTATGTTAAAATGCACTAGAGCTAACTAAGAAGCATTCATTAAAATGTTAGCAGTGGTGGGAATGAGGGATTTCATTTTTGCTCGTTTTCTATTTTTTTATAATTTCCCCCAAATTGTAACCTGCATGAACTAATTTTACAAGGGAAAATATTTAACATTAAAAAACATAAGATACATTTACCAAGATGGTAATTTTCCTTTTAGTCTACTACTTTAGAAAAAAAGGTCTCCATTCCTATGCCACATAATGTCATGTAAGAAAATAAAGATTAATATAAACAACTAGAATTTAAAATGAATAAAATTAAACTAGAGAGAGAGAGCACACACACCCTGCCCCTCCAGCACTCCTGTCCATGTCCAACATTAAAGTGACCTGCCCAGAGCCATGTGGTTGGTCCTCAAGCTGAGATCTGAGCCAGGAACAAAAATCCTATGACATCAGCCCATATCTCCAGAACAATCTTCCTTCTAAATGTCACCATCACCCCCACTCTGCCCTGGGAAGACTGAGACTCCAGGACTTAAGTAAGTGGCTCCGGACAGCAGAGCTACCAGGAGCCAAAATTTGAACCCAGGCCTGGCTGGTCCGCCCTGAGCATCTGTGTCTTAAAGTGAAAAATGCCAGTTACAGAGGAAACTGCATGCAGGACTTCAGAGTAAGTCCTCAGGATATAACCCAAAGAATAAAATAGATATCCATAAGCCCACACTGACATAAATGGGGGAGAAGGGACAAATCCTTACGAAGAATTCCAAAAACACTTCCCCTTTAGGAGGTGAAGGTTAAATCCGACCCTTGATACGGGGGAAAGAATAGACTTTTCACAAATGTCGAATGGTGGGCCAATTAGATATCCAATACAAAGGAATGAAGATGAACCCCCTCCTCACACCATATACGAAAATTAACTCTAAATAGATCATAAAAGCTAGCTATAAAACTCTTTTTTTAAAAGATAGCAATAAGTCTTCATGAACTTGGATTGGCAGCTTTTTTCAATATGACACCTAAAAGTACAGGCAACCAAAGAAGAAACAGATAAATTGAAAAAAAATTAAAACTTCTGTGAAGGATACTGTCAAGAAAGTTAAAAGAGTGTGGTGCAGTTGCTTGGGCGTTTCCTGTGCACCAGGAGGTTCCCAGTCAAGGGCACATGCACCGTCTCAGGGGTTGTGCAGGAGGCAGGTGATTCTTGTGCTCTCACATCGATGTTTTTCTCTCTCTCCCTCTCCCTTCCTCTCTCTCTAAAAACCAATAAACTAATTTATTTTTATTAAAAAAAATTTTTTGGTTAATCCTCACCTGAGGATATTTTTTCCATTGATTTTTAGAGAATGGAAGGGAGGGAGGGGGATGGGAGAGGAAAAGAGGGGGAGAGAGAGACCAATGTGAAAGACACATTAACTGGTTGCCTCCCACATGTGCCCAAACCAGGACTGGGGATGGATCAAATCTGCAACCCAGGTATGCGCCCTTGACCTGGAATGGAACCCATGACCCTTTGGTCTGCAGGTCAACATTCTAACCACTGATCAACACTGGCCAGGGGGGTGGGGGGAATCAATAAATTATTTTTTAAAAAAGAAAGTTAAAAGGTAACCCATAGAATGGGAGAAAAATTTTGCAAATTACATATTTGATAAGGGTCTTGTATCTGGAATTTATAAAGAACTCTAACTCTGAAATAAAAAGGCAACCCAATTTAATAATGAGCAAAGGCTCTGTATTGGTCTTTCTGAAAAGAAGATACACAAATGGTTGTTAAGCACATGAAATGTTCCACATCATTAGCCAAATGGGAAATGCAGAACAAAACCACAATGAGATACTACTTAGCACCACTGGGATGCACATCAGTCTCTCTTCTGGATTCATCCTCACCCTTCTAGAAATTTATTTTCTAGGTGTAAAGGGAAGGACTGAGAGGCAGCTACTTTAAGCGAAATGTGTATATTTTGAAAATTAAATTTTTACTCAGTAAAAGTTCAATAAATAAATAGAATTTTAAAAAGTGAAACAGAAATGAATTAAAAAGACCAAAAAGCTTGACAGTTACCTTACTTGACTCGGTTTACACCCTTCCATTAATTGTGTAATCCGGTGGTTTTAGATTGCTGTGGCCTCCAGTCACCCACTGATCCCAACCAGCTGTCATGCTGTTGGTCTGCGCAAAGGAACCCCAGAAGTGTGAAGAGGACCCCGTGGAAGGCCCAGTTCACACACAGTTAAGAACTGGCAGGAGCCTCTGAGATATCACCAGGTCTTTGGGAGGCCGTGTAATGGCCCCCAACAATGTCCAGTCCCGACCCCTGGAACCTGTGAATGTGTTACCTTACATGGCAAAGAAGAATTAAGTTTTCAGATGGAATTAGGTTACTAAAGTAGATGAGCTTGGGTTATCCAGGTGGGGCCAATCACAAGGATCCTAAAAAGCCGAAGAGGAAAGCAGAGAGAGGCAGAGAAAGATGTGCTGATGGAAACAGGGTCAGAGGAATTTGACATTGCTGGCTGTGAAGATGGAGGGAGGGGGCCATGAGCCAAGGAATGCTGGAGGCCTCTAGAAACTGGAAAAGGCAAAGAAATAGATGGTCTCCTCTCGAGTCCTCAGGAAGGAATACAGCCCTGCCCACGCCTTGATTTGAAACCACTGAGACCTGTATCAGACTTCTGAACTCCAGAACTGTAAGGTTGTTACAAAGCTGTGTTGT